GGGTGCCAGCAGAACAGCGTGGGAGGAGTGGAGCGCTCCAGGGCCAGGCTGGCACGGTGGCAGGGGTAGGCGGCTGTCAAACAAGCACCTACGGTGGCAAAACCATGCTCTTACACTGGGAGGGCTTCTTTTGCTGGTGGGAGGGGAGGGGGTGGAGAGTAGAAGAGGCGAAGGGAAACGTAAAGCATGTCGGTCAAAATCTAGTTTCGCTGAGCTAAGCCACATCCACAACGGGAAGATTCTGTTGGTTCGCCATCTCCTTATTTTAGCTACATGGTGGTGCTGCAGCCACAGGTGGGGGCTGCCACAGCTGGGAGCTGTAGCAGGACATGTTGGTCAAGCTACGAATGTCAGCGCCCCAAGCCCTTTTCAAATTTTCTTTAAAGACTGAGTAGCTGTTTTGATAGAGAGCTTTGTGCTCCCAGCCAAATTCCCCACAAATACCTACTGAAACATTCCTGCCTACCGAAATTTTTCTGATGGGTTTCTGTGCCTGTCCTGGCTTTACTGCGGAGAAAGCATAGGGAGAACACAGGAAGAAAAAAAACCAACACAACTCTGCAGAGTTGCATCCCTAGAAGTGGCTTCATCTCAGTGTTCCCTGTATTTTCTGTGATGCTAAATTTGTGACTGTATGGTGCTTCACGATCCTCTCATGAAAAATGGTACAAAAATATCAATTACGGTTTTTTAATTGTGTGTGAAAACTTTAACCAATGATTAATCACACGTTGAGGAAGATAAGGAGTACCACTGTTTACATTTTTTTTCCCCTTTGTGTGTGAAAATTTGTAACACTACTTTTTTCTAAGTTATGCTGCAGTATTACGTTTTCCTTTGAAGAGGTACTTTGCAATAATTCAAAATCAGAACAGCAAAAAAGGGGAAAAAACCAGTTCCGTGCATGCGTACCTACGTGTGTATGTAGGTATGCCTGTGTGCGCAGCAGCGTCAACACTGAAAACCAATTTTGCCCTCCTTTGAAGAGCCCACGCAGGATTCACCTTTCTATTGTTCTGCTGCTCCTTTTACTCACTCCCCTCACCCTCCCCACCCCCACCCTCCCCCCCCTCTGATTTCCTAAGACAGTTAAAATACAGAAGGTACTGGTAGCAGGGCGGAGGTGCGCTCCCACTCCAAGGGATATTGCTACGGAAAGGCCGCGAAGCACAGAGAGCCCCTGGCGCTGCCCCGGTACCTTGGCTGTCACAACTCCCGTCCCTGAGCATCACCGTTCTGTTCAGTAGCCCTTGTACCGTCAGCCAGAACCTCCAGAGAACGGCCAGCAGCGAAGGTGAGAAATACGTTGGCAAACACAACCACAAAATACTATCAAGATAGGCTAAAAAGCAAGAAAAGCACACATTAGCACTTCTGTGATGGTTCCAGAAGGGTCCGCGGGAAAGGAGGGGCTGACCCCGAGCGAGGGGGGCTGCAGCCTTTCAGAGGGGAAAGGCCGAGAGGCCGTTTACTGCCCGTTTGCAGTCGTGCTGCTCAACCCCCCTGGATCTTGACAGACTTATCAGTGCTCTTCATTAACACCAATCTATATTATTGCTCCGGTGGCTATTTACTTCCATTCAGAAAAGCTGGATCAAATAATACAGATTTTTCTATTTTGTTTTTACCCAGAACACACAAAAGGAGCCTCCTGTGGTAGGAAATGAATGATAGACTCAGTTGTTGATGGAGAAAGCAAGTACGTACTTCTGGATGATATTAACGTGATCTTAAAATAGTGGGAAAGTTTTCTTTTATGACATTGACAGAGAGGCAATGATTTTGAGTAATGCAGGTTGATGTGAAGATGCTTTAAGATTAAATAAGTGCTATATAAAGGCCTGCCAGCCTGAATTCTAATGTGCTATGAGACATTTTGCATATTTAAGAGTATGCAAAATGTCTTGTACCACACTGGAATTCATTCTGACAAGGCTTTATATAGCATTTATTTACACTCATATTGTAGTTTAAGGAAGAAGTGATAACGCTGGCTCCTCCTTGCATGGAAGTAACAAAAGGTAGTGCTAATTGCTCTGTTTCCTTCTCCGAAAAAGAAAATAAAACCAAAAAAACCCCACAACACAAAAAAATAAAATAAAAGCAATCAAAAGTGGAAGCTTGTTTAATATTGCTCTACCATCATCCTGAAAGGCATAATAATTTGAGTTACACATCTGAACTGATTGGAGTTACAGAATCATATCTCCTTTTTGCATTTAACAATATATACAATATAAAATAAATACATTTACACAAATGGACATTGGTTGGAGCACACGGTATGATACACATCACAAAAATATACAGTTGATTGCTATACAGATGTGAAGCCCATCTACAGCTATAGACATGTTTGTTTTTATTTGTTGTTTTGTTTCGGTTTTTAACTACTGGCTATTATGCAACTCCTGGATTATTATAAGCAGTTTAATTTTTTTTGTCCTTTTGCGATCTTTGCACGACAAGACTGCCATAAAATGTTTTCCTAGGCAGGTAAACAGAGACGCTTAAATAATTAAAATACAATCACCAACACCCATTTTCTCTTCTATAAGAAAAATAGCAGTTTTAATTTTTTATATCTTTTTATGTTATCATTTAAATGCAAAATAGTGGAATAAATACAACAATCTGATCTGATTGAAACAAATGTGTAACTTCTGGGAGTTACACAATCATATTGCTTTAAATAAGAAAAAATTAAAAAATGAAGCAAAAATAGAAATTAAATCGTTATGGCTAAAACATACACCCTTTGAAATTTTCCCAACACTTCACATTAGGTAAGTGGTCTTGAAAGAACTCTTCTCCAGCAAGGTTTAAGATGAACAACATTATAAAGCCCGTGCAGTTCTTTTAGCTATGTTTCAGGTAATGCTTTTACAGTCTTGAGATACTTGTTCTTTTGCAGCTCCAAAAAATTACGGAAAATGAAAACTGAAGTTTGCACCGTGTGCCTTTAACACATCTCCATTTTTTGTGTGTTTTTGTATACTTCTAGTTGATTGGCTTTTGACCCTGAAGCCCAAGTTCTTTAATGTGATACAGCAAAAACAATATTTATATTATATATTTATATATATATAGTGTACTTGAACAGTAGCAACTTAAACCCTGCACAAACTTTCTGGAAAATAAACTTTTTTTTTTTTTGCACTCTTACATATATAAATAATCTTATAGAATCAGCACCTTTTTCCCAGGAGTTGTATTTTTTTTTGACATTTTTCAAAAGGGATGTGCCAATTTCTGAACTCCTATCACAGCTATAAATTTCAAGTTATTGACCATCTGAATGAATTGCTAATGATGATTTACCTAGAATCACACTACAGTCACTTCTCTACTGAGAAAACACAATCTACAATATAGTCCCATATAGCTAATGATAGATACACAGTTTTTTTTTCCTAGCACGAGGCCGATGGAGCATCGGCCCATTGTTATTTTGTTTAAAGCACACAACGTAGCAATAGTTTTGGAAACTTGTCCGCACCAAAAAAGTTTTGCAACAACACAGAGCGAGTTAATAACAACATCTGAGAGATGATTGAATAAAAGCTATATTTACAGCGTTTAAAAATTAGACTTATCTATAATCTTGAAATATTCAAAGTTTTATTTCTAAGCTATACATTGGTATTCTATAATAAACTGTTACAGAAATTATCCCTTGTTTTGAAAATATTATGATTTCAGTGTGTATCTGTTCATAACGAGTATTTGTTTGGAGTTTCGATCTCTTAATTATTACTAGGAAGAACCTTATTACCGGTAAGGAATAGAATATACTACTGTAATCTCCTGAGGAATTGTACATCCAATATTGTCTCTAATTCTACCCTGTGTCTATAAGCACACACCACAAGAATCCAAACACCACAAGAAGAACAAGACAACAGTCTTTGAATGCAACATAAAAATTCAGAAAAGCACAGCAAACATGAAACATTGAAAAGCTGAACTACATTTCTTTTGTTTGTTAGGATTACAATTTTAATTACATCTGTGTACATAGAATAAGGATGTTCACATAGTACAGGGAGCAGCTACTAACACTGGTACATTGGTATAGCATTTGATGGAGGTTATTGTTTATTGGTTATTTAGCGACTGTAGTTTTCTGGGGGCATCTAATCGGTTTATACATTAGATTACACCTCGTAACAGTCTTGAAACTGACTGACTTTCATGCTGTGACAATACTGGTTGAAAAGCACATATACTGGTTTAGCTACTTGTTAAAGATTGCCATTTACAAAACAAAGTCTAAATCAATAAATAAGGTATAGAAGTGTTAAACTCTTCAATTTGGTCAGAAGTCTACTACTCTGATTTCTTAATTTTGCAAACGTCGGCATTCGCCTTATTGCCTCTAAGCTACTATTGGTTCGTAGGGTTTTTCTGCGTGTGAGGTTATAATTTTGCAAACAGGCAGTATCTCGTTCATTTGCAACTGAAGCAGTTAGAAATCACGTAGCAACTATACCTTTGTACAGTCGCTGTCTCCTAACACCGTTACAGATTGGTATTTGACATGGAGTATTTATATGTTAGACTACTCGGATATACTGCAGGTGTAATCTAATCCTTTGAGTCAGTGAACATTTAGTTATAAACTGGAGCTCATGTTAAGAAACTGGATGTTTTGGACCAGACTGGCACACAACATAAATTGCATCCGTGATAATATGCACCTTCCCTTCGACTATTGCTTTAGTAAGATAAATTCCCACATTAATAAATGGCTGAAAACTGGTAAAGCTGGTACAAAAAAATCTCCGTTAGTAAGAAGAAACAAAACATTTAAAAAAATCTTCCTTCAGGATTCATTTGTCCTTCATTATTGTTCATCATTGTTCAAGCCAGCACAAAAATGCAGTATTTCTTTCTCTTTAGTATTGCATGAATGAATAAAGCTTAAACTATTCCCTGAAAAAGTTACATCGTAGCTAACCTAAGAAATATCTGGAAGACTTGAAAAAACAATTAAGGAATCAAATGGCTGTAACTGATCTAGATGGAAAATGCAATGATAAGAAGCAGCCGATGCATCGTCGCTTAGTCGTCTAATTAGAGACTGCTCCTATGAAATCTAATACTGCATTCAGTCAGTTCATCGTGTTGTACTGTACTGCTAGGTACGGTGGTTCTCTCTTTGATTCCTTTGTCATTGGGGACATTATGGTTCATAATAAGTTCACTGGCATCCATATTATGGATTTCCATCCTTTGGCAGGCCTGGCTTCCATCTCTCTTCAATTAGAGACCTCTTTTAAAAAGTTCAGCAGCAAAGAAAAAAAGAAAAAAGGAAAAAGGAAAGGAAAGAACAGAAGGAAAAGAGAGAAAAGGAAAAGGAAAAGAAAAACTGCATCAGAAAGACACAGAAGAAAAAGTTGAAAGCTGCTTCACAGTCTTGCTGCTAAATATCAGTGCAGTCATTTTTTCCTTAATTAAACACTAAGTTTCTTTGCCATTATTATCCTGTTTATTTTCCCTTTTTTTTTTTTTTTTTTTTAAAACGTGCATGATGGGGAAGCCCATGATGCTTTAGTCAGACCTTGGCCTCCAGCATTTCCAAAAAAAGTTTGTGCATGGGGACTTTGCCTTCCAGTTTGATGTTGTAGAAATGCTGCACAGCCTTGGTGGAGGTTTGCCTCAGAAGCGGGAGAGTCATCAACATCTTGCCTGCGCGGCGTGGGTCTTCCATGTGCTGCCCGGCCTCGTAATCCTGCAGAGCCTCATGTAAGACGTCCTGAAGTTTCTGCACTGCCTCAACATCCTCTATGTGCATTGAGTCTGCAAAACAAAGGAGCAACAGGAGGTTTCAGTCTGGCATGCCAGAAGTCAGGTAACGCTATGGCTGCACAACACTTTCGCTGGTTCTCTTCCTCCTCTTTCACAGAGAAGGAAGATGATTACCCACTCATTTCTATATTGACCTTCAGGAAAATACTTGGAACCGCTGTGGAACTACAAATGTATAGTTAACTCTTGTGTAAGTAATCCTTCTCCTCATCCTCCTCAAACAAGTAAAACTGTCACCCTCACTGCTTCGTAAACCATCTCCTACAGTTACTGCTTTGATGAAATGATAGTGCCAAAGGGCTGTATGAATTGAGGTCTGCGTTTTATCTGGGCAGCCAGAATGACTGCCCTACTGTGGAAAAGCTCGGTAAAATTCTGTGTCAGGCTCCGAGGCTGTGGAGTTGGAAGCCATGGTCCTTACCCACTGCTCAGAGGTGCTAATTGCGGGATTAGGACCACTGCACTGACACCAGGGAAAAGTGGGTTTGATGCCATTTCCTGGTAGTTTTAGCAAATTTTTTCTCCCTCGGGCACATTCAGCCAGACAGGCAACACTTAGTATGTTCCTGAACAGCTTTTGTTCTGTGAGGCTGATATCTCCTACAAGGTGTAATCCTTCTCTCCCACCCACTCACAGGGTGGTTTATCTTGTTATTGTTGGGGTTTTGTATTTTTTCTAAATCACTCAAAGCAAGTACCTCGCCCTGTACCTTTCCAGGTGAGATGTTTTGGCAGTGTAAGTATTGAGTGAGAAGCCTAGACACAATGCACACCAGGAACTAAACTAAACTGCTACATGACCTGGAAAGATTAAAGCAATGGAAGTGTGAAATAAAAAGAAAAGATCTAACTGAAATAACTGTAAAACCCGCGACAGCACAGATACAGAAAGGGAAGATGTCCCTGAGAACACGCAGTTACTGGACCATGCTCAGATGACTTCGGACGAGTAGCCCTAATTCTCTGACTTATGTAGTCATAAATGCCAAATAAACCCTGATGCGGCCCAAAGTGAGGTGAATGCAAGTGAGGAAGAACAGTGGTGAAAGAGGCCACCGAACAGCCCCTATTAGCTGCCAAAACTTGGGTGGTCAACAGACTTACAGAGCTGATAAACCACCATATATGAAAATAAATGCAACTGCTGCAATGGGGTCCTAGGGATGGGCCACACTGTGCAAGTTTAGCTCAGGGTGGCACTGGGACATGGCATTATTAAAGTATATCCTTGAAAACTCTAGTGAGTACAACGCTGCTTTGCACCTTAATTTTTGGTTTTGGAATAAAGCTCCTGTTCCCAGACACAATAATGACTGAGGAGTTGGGTGTGAAGAACCCGCTTCTATCGTCATTTCCAAGCCCTGTATTAAGCAGTTTGATGCCCTGGATCAGTATTTTGACAGAGCCTCACGTTTTACCCCGTTGATGATAACAACACCAAATTTTGCACGTGCTTCAAATACCTGAACTACATTCAGAGAATTAAGATGCATCTAAGATTCATTTTCTAAAAGCTGATGTGCAACTACTTCCGCAGGTAATTAGGCCAGATAGTAAATACCTCTCTCTTTTCAAACACAAACATGTAAACTAAAACACAAACCAGTAAGTAACAGGTTAACAAAAACGTTCCAGCTTCTATTGTCAAAAGAAATGTGCAAATTGAAAAAAAAAAAAAAAAAAAGTTACAGCTCCACTCTAAAACAGACACTTAATTATATACAAGTTTGGATCATTTAGCACGTTTTATTGATTCTGATGACAGTTTATCTGTTAATTACACATAATGGAGTCCTGTGGGAATTTTACATGTTTAATAATTCTGAGTCTTAGCGAATACATGCCCTAAGAAGCATGCAGTTAAGACATCCGCTGCAGGGATGTGATACTGCACATGAAGGTGCACTGTGCTGAAAGCAGAGAAACGCAAAAATATCTCTCTTAGGGAAAAAGGAGGCTTCAACGTTTTAAAAAAGGTGACAGGGAAAAATTACCTCTAGTAAAATTTAGTTCTAATTAATGTAAGACCATTCCACAAATCCATGTATTTTTGATAGTTTTCTAATACAGCAATTCTAATAACTAATTCTGTGTCAATAACAGAATCCCTGAATTCTGTGTCCTACAAACAGATGTAATCGATACAGACATGCTAACGCACACACACAAACCTGACTGATGTCTCAAGCATAGTGCCCAGCCACCGGGCTTCATTTGGAATGTTGTCTTTTCTCCCTGACTCTACCAAGTCCTCGGGTATTCACCGTTGTGCTATGGAACACACGATGTGCTACTCCAAGTAATTTTCCTATAAACCATGCACAGTTTGGGCAAGAATTACACATCTTTTCCTCCACTCCTCAGACCCTCAGTGCCAGGGCCAGATTTGCTGGGGAACCAAAAAGGAGCAGGAACAAATATGAGGAACAAATGCTTGGCGAGTCAAAGACTGACCGTTCTTTCAATTTTTTTTTTTTTTTTTTTACACCATATTGCATAAAGAGACAGGTCGTTCTGAAGAACCTGACTATAAATGTTTAGGTCTTAACCCTGTACAAAACTGGTCTGATTCCTCCCAGAATCAGTATTTGTAACTGCAACCACTTTTGAGTCTGGAAACAGATGGATGGGGTCCAGACTAATGTATTTTTCGTGCAGAGATGAAACTTGCCTGAGATCTTTAGCTCTGCAGTTTGGATAACAATTTGGCCTGCAGCTTTAGGAGTATCTGAGCTTTACACATTTCTTACATAGATGCTGAGTGAGGAGGGAAAAGAAGAAAACAGAACACCCCCAGAAAACACAAGAACAGAAGGTGAATCGAAACCCGCCCTCTGATACAGCGATCACACTCTGTGCTCTCAAACTCTTCCACTGCGTGGACAACATGTTCAAACAAGGGATCTTATCCTCTCCTCGCAGGGGTGATTGTATACCTTCCCTCCGGTAAACAGAAAAATTGCTTACATGGAAAAGTAATAGTAGTAAAGCATTTAATGTATTTGTTGCTGTCTCTGAAATCAATTTAGCAGCTGGGAAGCACGTGAACAGCCAGCTCTCCACCGGTCTAATGCAAGCACTCCGCTGCCAAACAGTGGTTCGTGGAGCAGTTTAGGAAGCTGTACCTTAGGAGGCAGATTTTGTCACAGGGAATGAGGTGAGAAAAAATAGCAGAGAGGGGCACTTCCAAACAGTGATTAAGACTTCGAATTGTTCTTTTAAAACGGTGATTTAGCCTGAAAGACTTAAAAAGTATTTATTGAAATTCCTATGATAATTTAACTTCCCATTTACAGAAAAGATTCAAACTCATTTCAGCTTTACCCACTCTATGGGGTCTTCTAACGTTTAAATGCAAACTCACTAAATCTGTGCTATTTAATTAGACCATGATTCAGCTTGCAGACTGCTCAGGAAAATATTAATCTCTACAAAGATACTTCTTCAAGTTTTTGCCTTACAGTCTGGAACTTCCACTTTATTCCTGATATTAAACGAATGTAGATCTTAATCCCTCAGGCGTAAGCCTTTGAAAATAAGGAAAATGGTTGAAAACGCTGAACTAGCCAAGGGGAAAAAGAGAAGGAAAAATAAAAGAAAAATCTTTTCAGTAACTACAGACTGGCAGGTGTAGAACTGAATTCAGAGCAGGTTAACTTATTGCTGATAAACCCAATCCTCAGTAGTAAGAAAGGGCAATGTCAACAAGAACCACTGTAATTTAAGTAAACGCAGAGCCTGTGTGGCAATGCAGAAAAGGAGAAATAATACCACAGACGGTATGAAATTGAACTACAAGTTAGGTACAAAGATTTTGAATATTCTTCCCATACCAAGAAAACCCCTTTTCTTTTGTTTTTGGGTTGTTTTTTTTAAGTGGCTTTGTAGACAATCTGGATAATTTACAATTACATCCTACACAGGTAATATCCAGAGGAAACCTATACCCAGACGGAATACACTTAAAAATCAGTGCCTACATAAACAATGAAATTAAAGAGGGTAATTTGAAAGTGTTATCATTTGAAAGCAAGCAGGATTTGATTGTAAATGCCCTGCAAAAACAGGATCCCACGCTGGTGAAACTAAAGAGCTCAACAGACAAACACAAGACTGTTGATACAACGTATTACTGAGAATAAGGGATTTCAGTCTAGCAGGGGGAAAAGTTACTGATCAGTGCTGCAATGGGAGAGAGTGAGATGAACAAATGAGGACATCGACTCATGGAGGTCTGCCTGGAGAATCTCGCTCTAACCTTGCAAATGTCTTTTTCACCATCAAAGGATGGGAAACTGGAATTGTACCTCTTCTGATCAGCCGATTGATTGTATAATTGCGCAGAAATGGGAGAAATCCAGAGTTCTCATCCAAGAAAAAGAGCAGAAGGTGCAGACAGAAATTCAGATTACAATCTACCTCATTTACAATTCAAGCTTCATCTCAAATGCAGCAAACAAACATCCAGCCACCCAGGAATCATTTAGAACGCACCACAAAGGGTGACAAGATTGGAAAGCACCTGAACTGAGGGCACAGAGACCGCTCAAAAAACTGCTCCGAGGAAAGTTAAAGGCTGGTATGTATGTATTTTGTATATAACACGACTAAGAAGCAGTGGATACCCAGGGGTCTCAAACTAAGTATTTCTTCATGTCAGAAAATTCAGGCAGCATAAAGGAAGAAATTATTATAGTGAATCAAGCAGCAGGGAGTATGCAGCAGTGAACACACACATTAAGATGCTGATAAAGCACACCAGAGACGCAAATATCAACAAGTACTTGGAAGACAGCAATTGCTGTGATGTTTGTGATTCCGTATAGCTGAGCAGTTCACAAACCCAAACAGGATAAATCAGCTTAGAAAGTTGTAGGATCCTGGAAAAACTGGATGGGATAAAGAGTAAGAACAGCAGGCAAAATGGTTTTTGCTTTATGTAAGGACAACAGAAACCTTAACCTGGATGATGTCTCAAATAAGAGGAATTT